ACGTGGTCCAGGTCGGAAGGGGTTAACGACAGGTTGAAGGAGTTATGTATCGCGGAGGGGGCAGTGTTTCTGAACACTAGGGAGGCTTTGAGTCGCTGTAGATGTCCGATGGCTAGGGATGGAGTACATTTTTTGAAAGAGGGAGCGGTAGCAGTAGGATTGGCTATCATGAAGGAAAATGAGTCTTTTCTAGGGTTGTAGATGGGGGGGCAGGAGATCACAAGCAAGGGACAGCCACTACGAGCAGCTTTAGACCACCGCGTACTGGTGTGCAAGAAAGGCAGGGAAGAGTCAAGTGTTTCTACGCGAATGCACGCATCCTCTCCACTCTGGCAAAAGCGAACTGGGTTTAAGTTTCCAATGGGATCGGAACCGCGTTTCCCGATCGATCGTCTCTGCTGGGAATCCTCTTGAGAAGGTCCATCTTACGATTGCGCCAATCTTGCGATTGGTTTTCTTTCATGGGACCAGGCGTCACCGTTTTTCCAGCGATCCTTCCGAGTGCAAACTTGGCTTTGTTTCGGCAAAAAATGTGCACGATTCCTGGGTTTTCATGCTTTTGGTGAGTCGCAGCGGAAGATTTGTCTAACAAATGGAAAGTTCCTCCACTTGGAAACATCCAATAAAACCCATTCTCATAAGACCAATATATTCACGAATTGAAAGGATGTGCATTCAAACCGACCCATATGCACGGAATCTAGGAGAAATTCTAATAATGTCGAAGTAATAAACTGACAATTCATACTACTTACTAATAATTGTAGCACTTACATGATCAATAGGGGTAAAAAAAAATTGCAATACGCATATCTCCCTTTGACCCGAGGAACCCAATTTGTGTAGGGCGCTTTGGGAGTGCGATCCGCTTGCACTGAATAATTGGGAAAATCGTGGAGCGCTAAGGAAATAAATGAAAAAGTAAACTTTTTAACACATTTAAAACCTTTTCTGAGGTGAAATCCAAACTTGAAATCCAGGAAAATCAATCGAAAATCTCATACGTAAAATAAATATAATGCCTTCGGAATCAAACACACCTCATTGTTAACACATTGCATTTTGACAATGTGATGCTTGCAAGGGTGCAAGTGCGCAGGACGATGCACGTGCAAAAATGAATGATGGTTTCTTCAAAAGTTCCCAATATATTCACGGAGACGCGATTAAAGCGATACCAATGAGTAATATAAGTACGTCATACCTTAAGTAGGCATGACGTACATCTGTCGTGACGAAACGCGTCCCAGGTGGGCTACACATTTTTTTGTCCGTGCACGTGCAACAAACACGCGCGAACAACTTCTGAAGTGGCCGGCATGGTCTCGCTCGCGTCTCACCTCGACATAGACTGATTTGTTCATTTACTATACGCCTAACCTGTGCGTAAACATATAAAACTTGTTCAAAGTGGTAACCTAATGAAAACGAAAAAACATTTTTGGGGACCAGATATGTACATCTGAATTTAAGATGCTTTCGAAGCAATTTCCTTTAGAGTTTGATATCAAGTCATCATCCTGAAGGAAAAGAAACTCTGAAGGGGTTTCTTTCCATCGACGCTAATTCAATGTTTTGCTTGTCGTAGTTTGCATAGGATATCCTGTATTCGTTTATTTTATCGAGTAGGAAGGCAAGTGAATGAGTTATCCTGTTAGAATTTTTGCCTTGTCGACCATTCCAGATTTACTTTCGGGTCTGTAACGAAACCTCGAAAATCTAAATATCGAAGGAATGGAAATGAAGAATGTAATATCACGTGCAAATGACATAAACGTCGAACAAGAAAAAACCTTATATGTAGCAGAAGTTAGAAAAAGGCCGAAAACGTGGAACAAACTGAGAGTGAGACTGCAAAGAATGAAAAAAATTCGATAGATTGTCATCTGACTGTAGGAAACTCCAAGAAGTTGGTCTTGTGGAAAGGTGCAATAACAGCGAATATTTTCATCTATTCATACAGGGTTTTTTCCTTGACATTTCCCTCATTCAGGACGTCGTCAGCGCCTAAAATGCTCTTCTTCCGCAAATCACTAAATGTGGACATCAGATTGCAACTCAGTTCCGAGAATCTGACGCTGATAACATGCACATGCGAAGCGTTCTCCTGTTCCACTTCTCCCGTTGGACAAGTGGAAGGAAAATCCGGTGGCAAAATGGAATTGCAAATCCACATCATTCCTGCCATCGAATAATCGAAATTTGTGTACCTTGGAATTCCTCCAGGAATGAAGTACGTCGGAACGAGACTTTTCATTGACCTTAAAATTTGGCGACAACGGAAAGACATTCGGCGCGAGAGCCCGGTTTCAGACAATTGATTTCCATTTACATTCATGGTTCCAGACTCTGCAAAAGAAGATGCTCTACACTTTCCCCAAAGTATTACCCGTGATGTAAAAAGTTGAATCACTTCGATTGACACATGATCAGGACCGGGGCATTCCGCCAAAGAAAGTGTCATTTGACTTTTTGGTGACTCAACTATTTATTGTTTTTCTTTCTCAGTGCACTCCAGGAAAAGGGAAATATTAGTTTTTGGGTTTCTTCATTCTGTCGTACTTCGGTAGCTTCGAACGTGTCAGATTGCTTTCGTAGCACTGAGGGTTTGAATGAAGATGCAAAAAGCCCAAACGTGGAAAATCGAGATCCCGGAAGACCTGAAGCCACGGGAGGGAGGAGGTAAGGATTAACTCTACAGTGATTCTCATCTAACGACCAAAACATCCTGGACTACTTTGTTATCATCCTGAAGGTCCTGCGAGGGGACGAAAGATCCGAATTACCCGGAACATCGTGAAGGCGATTGCCATTCTGGCATCTGCTGCCCTTGCCGTCAAACAGGTTCATCTTTCACGTTTCCTCTCCATTTCACGCCTTCAATTTTGACCTTCAACATTAATTCGAGATGAGGGTGGACGTACGAGAGAGTACGACCATTAGCCTTTTCCTCAATCCTAGGGTAATCCAAACACTCAGCAGAGAGGAGGATCCTTGCATCGACAATGAAAATCACAGCTACATGAAAGGGAGTTTGATTCACTGAGGGGTGGCTGATACTGAGATAAGGCAATGGTAAAATATGTTCATGCGCATGATTCCTCAGTGCATGGAGAATTGCTTCTGGATGAGTTTCCAGTCAAATCCAAACGTATCCTGTATCATCCCTTCTCTGTTGACAGAGGAAGTCCATTTGACGAAGCCAGCGTGTTGAGATATCATGACCGAACATAATTTCATATTAAGGCTTGTGGTGGCCCAGAACATTGATGCACCTCGAATGCGTCCGACTGATTGCAATTGTCCAAAGAGATGCAACGTGATTGACTATCGCATCTCTGCCGATCCCAACCCGGCCTGTCAACTGGAGATGGGGAATGTCAATATCGGGTATGCCACCGTATACTTCAAGTTCCCATCAAAAAGGGTACTTATCTCCCCTCTTCGAACATTACCTCCTCTTTTGCCATTTTCAGGATTCAAACTAAGGATCCTTAAAGCGTCTTTGAATACCTCGACAAATCCCTCATAGCCTGGAGAAGGAGAAGGTGACTCTGCATGATCTGTTGTCCAACATAGGAGGAATCGTCGGCGTGTGCCTCGGGATTTCTCTCATCACCATCTTCGACATCATCGATCAGATTTGCTGCAGCTTTCGCAGTAAATTATTCTCCAGGCAAAATCGGATCATCAATGATGGCGAGCACTGATCGGATCAAGGAAAATATTTTCGATTTGATGGAACTTTGAAAGCCAGATTTGATGCATGGGTCCCATTAGAAGTTGTAAATGGATATTCTCCAGGCAAAATCGGATCATCAATGATGGCGAGCACTGATCGGATCAAGGAAAATATTTTCGATTTGATGGAACTTTGAAAGCCAGATTTGATGCATGGGTCCCATTAGAAGTTGTAAATGGACGATCAGTATTTTAGGGATATCTCAATGATTTCTAGAACCGATTTTTTTCTCTCTCATAATCTATTCCCAATTTCGTAAGTGATAATTATTTAGCTTGTCAGTAATGGCATCCGCACGCCCAATCGAGCCGTCCGATATATTCAATATTTTCAGAGGTGAGCATTTTGAAATAGAGAATTTACCAATAAATATATTTCAGTTATCAGCTCGTTGAATAACAGGTTTTTTTGCCAAGCGAGCACGTATAGCGGAAATTTATTTCATGGAGATAATTTTTATATCTGGATCAGTTGGGGGGGGGGAGTGGCTGGCTTTTCTTGCTGATTCCTATTGTAAATTCACAGCAATGCTTAGTTTATACGTGTTTTCCGAAATAGGTCCTGACCTCATTGTGTCCATTCCTAAAAGGTGAAGTGTAAATATTGCGAAGTTTCCAACGACATTTGCAAATGCACCATTCCCGAAATACATGGGAACACTCTTAGAAAAAAGTGAGCGATATCAGAGAAAGGGTCCACGACTTCGCTTTCGTGGATGATATATTCCCCCCGTTTGAATTGCTCAATCCAACAGTAGACACTTCTTTCTGCCTTGACATGGTACATGTTGCAACCGCCTACATATCCCCTGCCGTTTTACGTTCTCAGCGACCCGGAATTCCACTACGGCCAGCTGTTTCTCCCTAATATGTCGTGGCGACGTCATTCCCAGTATCAGTCAGGGGAGCAGGGAGTGCGCCCGATCTCCTAAAACAGAAGAGACCAACTGTTCTTTCCTATGTCGTCCCTTTACCGTTAAGTCACATAGCAAATGCAATTTCAAAATTGCCGCTACATTTGCACCCCCCCCCTCATATTAAAGTAGACCTATCCCAAAAATGCGTGCCGGAACCTAGGTTCCAAAATGGATTTTGATGCAGGGAACAGGACTTACAGTGAACACATAGAGTAGAATGTGCTCCCTGTTTTCTGATGCGGCAGCTTTTATTTTTAGATTACAGGTGCAGAAAAATGATATATATTCAGGAAACAATCTGAAGACGATAGCTGGACCGACATTATTCCATGACGTTATCTAAAAAGAAGTATGAATAAGCGAATGACGAGAAACATTTAAAAAGCGCTGCTAAACGTTTCATCCTTGTACTGATAGATAATTCATCCACATGTCGATGAGATCGGTTAGGTCGATTTCATGCAATATTCAAGGGATTTCATGAATGCAAGATGCTAATGGATGGATGAAATGAAAAATGAGGCCACGTCAATGTAGAGCAGAGGTACAGGGGTGATGGAGAAAGGTGAAAATAAAATCGCAATGCAGGCAAAGTGCGCTTGAGCCACCATCACGAGGGGGAATAGAATATACAGGTATTTAAAAAAAGAAATGAGTTGACAGAGAAGTGAAAAATACGTAAACATTTAGCCAGAATGTATCATGCAGGGTGATTAGAGCGTAAGACCTGTAACATATAGACTAAGAAGCCAAAGTAAAGCCAGAGAATGCTCTGACCCTTGAAACTCTAGGGTCATCCACAAATTGAGGGGGCCAAAGGTTCAACTTATACCAGAATCGTCAAATATGTCCTTTCCTCTTAAATGTAAGACTGATGACACGCGCTTTGACATGTACTCGCACGTATCTTTCTAAATCAGGATCATGTCTACCTCACAATCTCCTAAATTTCGAAGTCTCCTGTTGGTGGACGTGTTGACTCTACATAAGTCGTCAAAATGATTCGCGGCCAAAATGTGTCATTCGACAATAACAAGGTCAGGTCTTATGAAAATAGATGTTGGTTTAGATTTTCTTTTAATTACAACCGATGTGTTTCATCATTTTCCCATCTGACAAATAATGTAGCTCTTCCTCCCAGAACCCTATTTCACTGAATAAAATACATCGCCATGAATATTTTACGCTGGGCCATTCAAAAGAAAATCAATGTCTGCCACTTCAGTCAAGCCGCACTCTTATCAAGTCATCCAAACTTTATTGATGGAAAAGTAATGGGGGAAGAGGAGGAAAATATGGATGTTAAGAGCTGCTAATGGATTTCGGCTCTCACACGGAGCCGCGAAGGGGAAGAGGCCGCATGACCTCCTCCTTCACTAAGGTGAGTCTTCAAATCCTCATTTCACTCTGACTGCTGTCTTCTCGGTTGAATGCCTTCATACATCTCTTCCGGTTCTCATTTCCTTCCAATTTGTGTCAATCTCAAACGAGCAAAATCATTGCGTTAAACTGCGTGGGGATTTTTCCACATCCTGAGATATGTATGAATTCCACTCACAAAAGCAAAAGCAGTCAGACTCATGATACGCTCTGGGTCGTAAAGCGTTTCAAGAAGACCCAAATCTTTCAAGTACTCTCCGTTAGCAATTTTTACCCCGGCCAATTGCGGCTCATCTCCGCGCGTCAACTTTTACAAGCTTGGCCCACGGGTGGCATGTGTACGAGACGTCACGTAAATATCTGTGGCATCAAGTCTGCTGTTTTCAGACATTCCCATTTTAATGTGGACTGGTGGGCTCGCAACACTTCTAGATGAGATGAGAGCTCAATTTGTTTGCGATGTCAGAGCTCGACCGTCCTTTTGAAAGACTGAACGTAAAATATTGACGGCATTGTTTTCAGAAGGACGATCGAAGCCCGACATCTCCAACAAACATCGCTCTCATCTCATCAAGAAGTGATGTCCTATCGACAGGAGGAGCCATGGAAGGAAAAAAAGTGCCGGATTATGCAACTATAAGAAGAGAATAGACGAGGTGCGGGGTGTTTGCTTCGACTCGCTGCAGGGGCTCTTGGAGATAGAAGAGAAAAAAGAAACCTTTTGAAGCCCTTGGTAGGACAGCCTCTTTCAAGTTCATCGCATCGGACTTTCCTCGTTGCTCTTCGCGCTACATTTGTTCTCGTTCTCATTTGTACCAGAACCAGAACTTTTTGAGCCAGTAAACTCACCTCTGGAAACATCTGTGCCAAAATAAGGTAAGATCGAATATATAAGTCAACGCTAAAAATCCGACAAATATTATCTGCATCATTTGCATTGCATCTTTTTTTCCTCAAAATTTGTCGCGGCCCTGTTGGGTAGCACTGCGTTTTCGAATGCGTGGAGATGACTGTTTCTTCAGCATGTTTTCCAATTTCCATGAGTAACAACTCGACTTATAATTTTTTCTCGTTTGATCATCCCGTTGGATAGAGCTTATCCCAATAAGCAGTATCTATCACCTTTCCCCGAAGGTGACGACCTCGTTACTTTTCATGAAGTTACTATGTTTCCTCAGTTCGTGAGATTTTTTTTTCATAGCTTGCTGTCACACGTGAAATATTTGCGACCTCCTCATCATGACTAATCGACATCCGTCCCATCCCATTCAAATGAGACTCTGCAGGTATTATGAATTCTCATGTTTCGAACCAGTATCATTGGGTAAATCCCTTAATCCTCTCCATCGCCACTTCAGTAAAAAAAAAAAGGATTATAAACCAACTTTAGGGGAATTTCATGCATAATATTCAAACGTGACTCACCATACGCATATCCAGGGAGTTCCGTCCCGTAATATTCGAAAGAGACTACATGTTCCATGATCAAACAACCACGCTTTTTCATATGAAAGTGATATCATTTGCATGACAATCGCATGAAATTGACATTGATATCCATGGATATCATCAACGCTGTTTATTTGTTTTGCCTATAAATATTTGCTAAGAAAGAAGTGTTATGTTGAGCATATTGTCTACTTTCGTATGATTTTCCCTATTTTCGTAGTTTTGGGTAATTAAAAGCAAGAAGGTTGGGCAATACTTTCGACTCATCCTGATGTACTGGACTCGGTACCACAGACAACGCGGACATTTACATGACACCCCATGCATATGCCACCCCTGGACTTAGCTTGTAAAAGTTAACCTCGCGGAGATAACCCACACTTACCCGAGGGATCAGTTCTGCTGGAATTCGCAAGGTATAATTTATTCCTTGACAGAACTCTACCGGACTTTAAGAGTTTCTCTATGAGCTGTGCACCCGCAGCAAGCGAAACGCGCCATAAGGAAATACGAGACATTGCATTTAATTGTGGATCGTCTCAATTGGGTAACACCATCATGGACTCGAAACCTCGAACGGACAACAGCGGAATGAATTTAATTTTCCTCTTACATGCTACCATAATGCTCTTGATTACCCCCAGATCACGTGGTTTCTGTCTCATTGGATTCTCAGTCGACTTGCTTCTCCTCGAAAATCGGTCAAACTGCGCTGCAGAAGACCAAGGATATGGGAAACGACCTGCAGATGCAGGAGCTTCGAGGTAAAGTAATCGTCAATCTTTCAAAAGGAAAACCTTGGAAATATTTTGAAATGTGATTTTCTTCATCAAGCCAAGGGGAGTGGAAGCAAGATGGGCATGACCAGCAAAGTTATGAAAGCAATTTTGATCTCGATGTTTGCAGTCCTTGCAATCTGGCAGGTGAGATAGGGAATAACCTCATCTTATTAATGCCCAAAGTATCACTAATCAACACCAATTATTATTAATCCAAAATGAAACAACAGGTGGCGATACTGGTCGAAGAATATCTGTCCCACCCAACCCAAACGTTGCACGTGATGGAAAATGCCCACATGATCCAAACCCCAGCATTCACATTCTGCCCCAAGCCGTCGGTGAGATCCTCCGCTCTGGGCGCCGACGGCTCTCTCACATATCGGAGAGGAATTCGGTCGACGAACACAACCATGGCCGAGGGTTTCAAGAATGTCTCCGTTTCGTTGCCGGACGTGCTCCTATTCGCTCCTATGAAGTTCGCAAACGCCAATGAGAAAATCAAAGTGGAACTCAAATCCGTCAATGGGGAAACCATCCATGACCTCGGTAAGCATTCGTACATTGCATTATTTCGGTCAATTAAACGGCTGATTCAAGACATGTTAGAAGTCGCCTGGTTTCATAGGTTCTGAAATCTGGAGCGAGAGAACGTTTGTTTACGATGGATGGACCAGCGATCCAATTGGTTCATATTATTACAAGTGCTTCACGTTGCTGCCTGTGAAAAGAGTGGTCACCGAATCGCTGTCCTGCATTGGCACCACCTTTCTCTTCGACTTCAGACAGATCCTCAAAACTTTCGGGGTGAGTGCAAATTTTTATTTTCCTTTCCAAGAAGCCCACGCGAAGCCACAATAATTTTCCTGTTCACTTGTTCAATTCAGAGCTCGTCACAAATAGAAATGTACATCCACGATCGGAATGAGAAATTTACGTTTCTGGGCATGACCTCGACCAAACGATTCCTGTTGCGCAACAACACTCTGACAGGCATCTTCCTCCGCCCGGAGGTCATTCATCGACTGAGCCAAAAGGAGGACCCCTGCGTTCCTCACGAGGGTTACAGCTATTCGAGAGTGAGAGAAAATATTTCGGGTGACCAGGTGAAAACCGCACATTTTCTTTGATCACGATACCTCGGACAGGGTAGTTCCAACTTCCTTCGTCCTACACCACCGAAACGCCCTTTTACCATTTTCACATGTTATTGGAATTTTTCTTTAAAAATCCGATTGATTCGGCTGTTGTGGAACTGTTGATGTAGATTACGTCCATTGGGGCTCAGCATGAGTCTAACTTGCACCTCAGCCATTTCCTCGGCAACGCGCCTCAACCGCTGCTTCATTTTTTTCCCCGAGCAGCACTTGATAATTTTTTACTGAACTTCACCTATGCTATAATGTATGGCACGTAAAATTTCATTTCTGTCAGCATGTAGTGAAGAGGAAAACGCTCTGCTAATTGCTCCTACGTAGCCTTCCGTTACGCGATTTCTTCGAATCACTATTATCGGCTGTCGTCGTTGAAACAGCTTAACATACGAAATAGCTGCTTTCGGAATACGATATTTCGCGATCATGTAGCATGCGTGTGCCGATTTTCGGCTGCCTAGGTCATGCCGTACTTAAACTCCTATGCCCAATATATTGATCTCAGTGAAAAGATGCGATTTTGACTTGGCCACTCCTACTGAAGTTGTATATCAGAACGTATTGAGCAATTTTGATTATGCATCTTCATCGTGCACTAAATGGTCTTTTAGTGCATGGAAATCTGCTTCTGGGAGAAATTCTACTCGAGTCCAGAGGTCACATGTGCCATCCCTTCCATCTTGCCTATGGGAGTCAGCGCCACGAAACCAGAATGCAAAAATGGAGAGGACGAATGGGGCCACATCATGGAACTGTGGCGGACCCGCCAAGCACCCTCCGCCTATCAGGAAACTATTCCTTGCCGCTGCCTCCAGAGGTGCAACGTGATCGAATACCAAGTCTCTGCCGATCCAACTCCGACCTGCGAGAGTATGAGGGAGAGAGACGGAACTGCCATGCTCTACTTCAGTTTCCCGTCGAAAATGGTTCGTTTCCATCTCTTCTCATGTAGGTCCATCTTCATTCAGTAAGTCGTGAGCTTAAAATGTGTTTCTTGCTTCTTCGAACAGGTGCCTCACATCCTGGAGAAAGAGATGGTTACTCCTCGTGATTTGCTGGTCGGCGTTGGAGGAATCG